ACAGACCTAAACAGAGAACTCTCAACAGAGGAATCTAAAGTGGCTGAAAGACACTTAAGGAAATGCTCAACATCCTTAGTCATCAGAGAAATGCAAATCAAAACAACTCTGAGATTCCATCTTACACCTGAAAGAATGGTCAAGATCAAAAACACTGATGACAGCTTATGCTGGAGAGGCTATGGGGTAAAGGGAACAGTGCAAACTGGTACAGCCCTTTTGGATGCCAGTGTGATGATTTCTCAGAAAATTAGGAAACAACCTTCTTCAAGACCACTTTTGGGTATATATCCAAGGATGCTCAGTTGTGCCACAAGGATATGTACTCAACTATGTTCATAGAAGCTTTGTTTGTCATAGCCAAACAACCTAAATGCCACACCTCCTAATAATGCCAATCCCTATGGGGGCCATTTTCTTTCAAACCACCATAATGTGTGTCTGTATATGTGTGTATGTATGCATGAGTGCATATGCGTGTTTGTGTATGTATGTATGTGTGCATGTGTGTATGTATGTGTTCATATGCATGTGTGTGTGCATGTATATGTATGTGTGCATGTGTGTGTATATGTATGTGTGTTTATAGACCATGAGAGTAGAAAGAGGACTGTGAAAGGAGAGGAACAGATGTTAAGAGAGAGAGGAAGGAAGAGGGAGGAGAGGAAATGGAACACGTGACAAGAAAGCAAAAGGGGGAAATGTTTGGGAAAGAACCTTTGCTGAGGCTCTAAACTGACACCCCATTACCGAGCTTCACTGACACCCATAGACAATATTTAGGCCATTCTTTCTATGTTTTCATTTCCTTCATCTATTATTAGCATGTACTCATAGTGTAAAATAATGAAAGCAGTGTGGCATTCCCATACATGTATGTCATTCTATGTCACTTACAACCCCACCACCTTCTCTTTTACCCCCTACGGACTCCTGCTGCTTCCTTTTCTGGGCATATTTATTTTAAAAATATATTTTTAGCTGTAAGTGATAGTACACACTAGTAACTCCAGCATGCAAGAGGCTGAGGCAGGAGGATGACATGCTTGAGATTGGCTTTAGTTATATAATAAAGTCTTGTCTCAAAAAGCCAAAATTATACATGTAATGCTTTCGAAATGTACTTCAGGCCTCTTTAGTCTAGCCACAGAGTCATGTGACCCTCCCCACTCTCTAGTTCCTGAACAGTTTGTCACCCCATATCCATTAGTGGTCAGTGTCCATCTCTACCGCTCTCCCTGCCCCCATGGCCTGACAGTCATTACTCTGGTTTTCATCACTGTGGATTTTTCTAGATAAATAGGGAATTGCCTAAAAATGGAACCACACAAGTGTGGCTTTCAGGGCTCCCTTTCTTCACCTGGTGTTTTCAAGGCTCACCATGGTGTATTATTTGCCAGTAGTTTTATGTACTGAAACCTTACTGCTTCCCCCTCCACACCCAGGTTAATTTCCTTTCTTAAAGAATTCTTTCAAAAATGCATAAAACATCAGCATTAATTTTCTTCAGACTCAATATGCTTAATCACATCTTCATTCAGAGTCACATTTAAAGGAAATATTGGTTAAATATAAACGCTTAGATTCCAAGTTTCTTATCTTCGTGGTTTTGAAGATCATCTCTCCATGACTATCAATAATCCTGCTATCCATCTGAATCTTGTTCCTGCTAAGGAATGTCTTTTCAGTACAGCTAGTGGAGTCCAGAGCCCTGCATCTAGCTCCACCCACTGCCTCATTCCTGTTTCCACTAAAGTGATTTGCCCTTTCCAGAAACTTGAAGAGTTTTCTCTCTGTCTTTGATTTCTTCCATGTGAGTGTGAAAGACCTGGATAAATCCAGATCCCCCTAGCAGGAAAACAGAGCCAAAAATCTAGCAGGAAGAGAAGAATCAGAAATCTAGGATTAACCAATTTCAGGGGTTCAGGAACTAGCTGAAGATAAAGGTAGATTGTAATCTTGAGAGTAATCTTGAGAAACAGAGAGATTCCCCCTAGTAATTATCACCCCCTAGTAATTATCATTGGTATAGGAACTAGCTGATTACGACCTTGAGAATGATCTTGAGAGGCAGGGAGTTTCCCCCTTGTAATCATCACTGGAATTTTCAGAGTTTTCTGTGACACCCTCCCTGCCCCCCTTTCGGATTACTGGGTTGTGTGGTTTCTTCCTATAAAAACTACTTCTCCCGGTCACTCGAGGTCGAACTCTTCCCCTGCGTGGGTTATGAGTCTCGGCCCCAGTGCACTGGTCCCCATCTTGTCGTCTTGTCATTAAACCTCATGTGATTGTAGCAAGGACGGTCTCTCGTGAGTTACTGGGGGGGTTCGCGTCATCCCGAGGCTCGAGTGAGAGTCTCCCCTAATCGGGGGTCTTTCAAGTGTAACACATCTCATCTCTTATTTACACCCCTTGATGGTTTAGCACTGGATACAACCTTGATTCTGAAATTTCTCTTTTTTCTCTAATCCTGGAAAACCATTTCTTACATTGTTGATGACACATGAGGGAATGGAGAGAGATAGAGAGACAGAGACAGAGGAGAGAGAGAGAGAGAGAGAGAGAGAGAGAGAGAGAGAGAGAGAGAGAGAAAGAGAGAGAGAGAAACTGCCTTTTGAGGTGTTTTAGAACAGGAATGAACCAAAAACCCAATTCTCTGTTTCTCTCTGTGGTTTCCATCTGTTCTTAGTTTATGGACTGTGGCCTGTCTGTAGTCTGTCTGTTGTGTGTGTCTGATTGTCCTTGCCTGTCCCTGCTGCCTGCTCTGTATTTACTGAACAGCACAGAAAATGTGGTGTGGGAATGAAATGGGGACACTTTGTTGCTGTTGTTTTTAAACAGAGATCTTTAACAGAATTTCACAAGGGAAGAGGTGACTTTACTGATCCCAACTGACCCAGAACCTCACTCAAAACTGCACACAGATGTTGCCACCCCATTTCAACATGTTGCTTCCAATATTGATGGGATATTTGCTGCTCAAGGTTACTTTCAACCTGATGGCTGTTTTCAATAAATGAAGAGTACAATACACATACTCTCTCTCCTCCCTTTCTCCCTCCCCCTCCCCCACTCTGGTCAGGGTGGAGGCATGAAAGAGAACAGAACAACACTAAAGCTATGCATTAACTTAGGCTGTCAAAGGTGATCATAGGGGAAGTGCTGCAAGGCCCAGTAGGGTTGTTTACAGTGTTCTCTTAAAGGCAGGTTAAACTTATCCAGACAGAGCACACACTAGGACAGCAGGTTAAAGACATAGTCTGAAATTATCTCAAGGCATATTCATAATTTGTTTTCAAAGTCTTGAAATAGATCACTGTCTTTGAAGGGAAAAGGTGCTTTCAGAAAAAAGACAACGCCACAATTTCTTTAACTATTTTTCTCCATGTTTGGTTTTGCCTCTTGTTTGGGAATTCCCATGATGCTCTCTGAAGGTGACCATTTTGCTTCAATGCCATTTAACCTTTCTCTTTTCCTTCCCTGGTTGCTTTCTTTGAGAATCTCCAGCTTGATCTTCCAGCTCACTGGAAGATCTTCCTCTATATCTGTCAGTTCTGGTCATTCTGTCCAGTGAACGTTTTCTTGGTGACTTTGCTTTGTGTATTGTATTTCTAAGATTTCTAATAGTTTTATCATAGACACGTCTCTCTTTTATGGGCTATTAATTACACACATTAAAAAAAACTTACTCAGGGCCGGGTGGTGGTGGTACACGCCTTTAATCCCAGCACTCAGGAGGCAGAGGCAGCCTGGTCTACAGAGTGAGTTCCACGACAGCCAAGACCGTTTCACACAGAAACCCTGTCTCAGAAAAACAAACAAACAAAAGTCTTCCTTGGTTCCTTGGTTTCCTCATTCTTCTTCTTCTTCTTCTTCTTCTTCTTCTTCTTCTTCTTCTTCTTCCTCTTCTTTTTTTTTTGGTGGTAATGACTAATCACAGGGCCTCCTGAATGGGAGCTGGGTGCTTTATCACTGAGTGATCCCTCCAGCCCTTTTCTAGTAGTTTTGCTCTCTCCAGAAGCAAATGGGCAACGATAAAGAATGAAATTTAATGATACATACACCTGAAAATGTACAGTGAAACCCATCGCTTAGTATTGTAACTTAAATTTTTCATTTAAGGGCTAGAGAGATGGCCCAATCGCCAAAGACTAAGCTCACAACCAAAAATTTCATCTAAAAATTTTAAAAAGGAAACCAGCACAGGGCATTTACCCCCTTGGGTAAAAAGGTACCACAAAGGAGATGAGGCGGCTGAAGCTGAAGGACCTCAGAGCCTAACCCCAAAGCTAATGTGGTAGGGTGTGGCCTGCAGTGGGACAGCCAGAGCCTCTTGAGTCTTTCCTTCCATCGGTTTCTTCCTTCACATGCTGTGCAGGACACAAGTGCAGTGCCTGGGGGAACTGGGACGAGGACAGCCCAGCACAGGCTGGGACACCAAGAGAGACAACTGGAGGACAGCCCAGCATGGGCAGGGACACCAAACACAGCAAGGCAGGCGGACAGCTGGCAGGAGCGCCTTCCTGCTCTATCCATGCCGGAGCCTTCCCGGGATATAACTCCTGGGTGATCCCAGCTGACTCCCAAAAGAGGGAGAAGAGAACTCGGTGAGCATGAATGCAACACAGGACTGGCTTACTTCTGAGACAGACCCACTTCTGACCCCGAGCCTGCCCAGAAAGCACAAGCAAGAAGCCTGGGAGACAACTTAAGACGGTAAGGCAATTGTTCAGAGAAAACAGAAGTCACGGGAGAGGAGTCGAAGGTGTGGCTCAGCAGTACAGCACTTGGGCCAACACTAAAAGGAAAGGAGGATGGGAAATAGGATAAAAAGTTTAAATGCATATAGTTAATAGCCCTGAAAGGAGAAAAAAGCTTAAGATTTAATCGATAAGTAACTGATGAATGGATAAAGCAGGGACGTGTCCAGTGTGGAGTCTGATTATGATGTCATTTGATTGACAGGGATGGGGAAATGGCTCGGTGGATAAAGTGCTTACCTTGCAAGCATCAGAACCTGAGTTGGTTCCCTAGAATCCTTAGGGGAAAAAAAATCAGTGCAGTAGCATGGGCACGTAATTCCATCACCAGGGAGGTGAAGACGGGTGGATCCTTGGGGCTCACTCGTCAGCCAGGCTAACCTAATTGGTAAATTCCAGGCTCCTGAAAATGACAAACACATCCAAGGTTGTGCTCTGTCCGCCACACCCATGTGCGCACATGTGCTCTTGCATGCAGGCTAACGCACCCTCACCCACACCCACTCCCCCACAGATAGCTTTTAAGGGAAATAAAAACCAGAAGGCCTAAAGGAGAAGTAGGAGTGTTGAGAACAGCAAAGAAATACTTCTACAAAAGAAGCTTTTATAATAGTTAAATTCATTTGGGGAAGATATCTTTATTTAATGGAGTGTTTCCTTACTTGATAAAACATTCATCATAGAATTGCCTTAAAACTGAATCTCTAAAAATATGACATGTCATAAATGTATTTACACTCTACTTCCCTGAGATAATTTATTGCTTTGAATGAATCTCATCTGTATTGATATTTTAAGTGTTGTAATAATGTAAAGGTGACAAACAAGCGTTCCTTTTTCTCCAGGGAAAAGAATTCAGCTTCACGGCAGCGTGAAGCGCTAGCGCGGTGACGAGGCAGAGCATGAAGATATGAAGGGACGTCGCACGCACAGCGACAACTCCCAATTCAATTTGCTGTTCCAACACCTTCATAAATCATTAAAGATTCTGACTTAAGCAGGATATTTGAAAAGTGAGGGAGTCCATGAGCAAGACCCTTGAGTAGTCAACATTTCTCTACTTTACAAGCACACCCCAAGTCTCGTCATTGCGCATTGATCTGAGAGGGATCCCAGCAGCCAGGTCATTAGATCCTTTTCCACAGGCCAGGATCCCAGAAATGTTCACAGACACTTGCAAGGAACTTGGGACTGGGAATGAGTTCTCTCCTGTATCATTTCAGGGTTCTTTCCCGCAGCTGGTGTGATCTCTTCTCCCAGTGACGTTTTCACAAGTCTGTTCATTCAGCTGCTGCTCCCTATTCAAGCCCGATTCAACACCCTGAACACCCTGACCAACGTTTTCCAGGGCCAGTGGCCCACCATGTGCCAGTGCCTTTCCACTTTGGTGAGACAACCACCTCGCCGAGCAAAGACTGTATCTCTTCCAATGCCACACTGGATGGGACATAGAGTCAACATATTTAAACGTAACATTCATGATATTCGATCTTACTAATGAGATGTCACACATGTCACCTGTGACTTCCACCACTGAGACCATCATTTTTAGAACTAAGAAGAATCGTGTGGGAAAATATTCTCACCGCTGGTGGAAAAAAAAATCACGTTTTCACAGAGTTTGCAAACAGGGAAATATTTGTGGGTTTGTCTCATATGTTTTGCTTTTTTTGGCAAAAGCAAAAGGCAGTTTTCTTTGCAACGAAAACGGCCTTTCGTTTTCGCCAATGCTTCACATCCATTTTTGCCAAGCAAAAAGCTGTTTTCCCAGGAGAAAACAGCTCAAGCTGAAATAAAAGGGAAGCACTATTTGTGAAAAATTTCCCTTTTTGAAGACAAAAATCACTTCACTCAATGCAAATGTCACCTGGGGGACTTCACAGGAAGGAAGGTAATGGGAGGGCGCCTGGCGATGACACACACTGATATGAGTGTAGCTAGGAAATAGAAAAGTAAGTTCAAGGTCACATGGGAGGCAGATTTTAAATTATGCCCAGAATTAACACACACACACACACACACACACACACACACACACACACACACTTTAAAATAGTAAAGGTTTGTGGCAAATTTTATGTGTATATTTAACACAAAATAGGGAGAAAGAATGAGGGTTTTATTTTAACCAAGGCTATGATTAAGCATGCCAATCTTAAAAGTAAAATATTTGCCACTTTCCTGCATGTGGCTTCGACTGTTTCGTGTGTGGCAAACATGGAGTCTCCTTGACAAGCTCGATCATGAATTTCCTGGAAACCTGAACCACGTCCACACCTAACCTAAGTCCCTCCCAAGGATTACACAACTGTGACACAGCAGACCCTAAATCAATAACTATTGATTGTTTAAGAAGGACTTCCTTGTTCCTGAATACATTTCAATTTAATGCATTTTTCAAGAGTCTTAAATACACATGGGGAAAGCGACTTCATGGAAAATCACAAAGGTCGCATTTTACTGTGCTGTATCTTAAAACTTCCCATGAACACAACCTCATCAACTTTATTTGTGTGTGGGTGCCATGCTGGGGATTGAACTGAGGGCCCCATGCATGCAAAGTGGACTTGAGCTACAGCTCCAGGCTCTTCCTTCATGAGACAGGGTCCCACCAAGCTGCCCAGGCTGAAGTTGAACTCACTCTGTCATTAACCCAGAAGGATCCTCCTTCCTCATCCTAGCTTGGAATTCAAGCCTATCACGTCACTTTAATGTTTATTCACGATTATCCTTTCTATGTTTAAGGAGATTTCGCAGAACAGCAAGGCAGCAAGCAACCAGCCCTGATTGATACCTTGGACAGCGCCAGGCGCGCCGGGTTATCCCATGCTCACGTGATTGACTGGGACATTTGATTAAGTGAACCTTTAGAAAGCAAACAACCAAGAAAAAAGGAGTGGGCAGGGAAGGAAGCAGCATGAAAAACAGCACACCCCTGTTACTCAATCAGAGAATTAGAGCACTCTGGAAACCCCTAGGGCACCACTTGGAAGCCTTGGGCTTCCTGTCTCCTTGTCTGTCCCTGGAGGCTAGGCCCTCATGTGTGTCTACATCAGCCAGATGGTAGCAAGACATCTGGAGCGTGTCTACGGGTGCTGAGCTGTCCCTAACCAACAAAGGAAAAGGGGCTGTGGCTGTCTTCATCCCCAGTGGCTCTGGTGTGTGTGTGTGTGTGTGTGTGTGTGTGTGTGTGTGTGTGTTAGCTCTTCAGTGCTCTAAGAAAGGGTCTTGGGCTCAGCAAGTTCAGGACCCTTGTCTGTCACCCTTCCCTCTCTGAAGCGAATGTTAAGAAGCTGACATTTATGCACATGAACAAACACCTGCCACCAGTGACTCGTGCCCTGAATGAGGACACACAGGAGAACATCAGGAGCCTGTAACGAAAGCTGGAGGCTGTTACACTGAGTGTTACCAACAGCAGGCATCGACTCACACTGAACATGGCGTTTATTACAATCAGCCCCACAAGGAGGGACCGCTGTCATCCACGCTATGCTGTACAGACAACGAGGTAGGAAGTATCCTGTTTCCTTTTTGAGGTGCAGCCCAGAGCCTCTGCCTCCCAGTCCTCATTTGTCAGATGCAGCAGTTCAGTTATATTCTTCTGGGCTTCTGCACATGAAATCCGTCTCTGAGTGGGTGGAAGTAGCCCCAACTTACTTCCAGGCTGTTCGTAGAGTTATTTTCATTATTGGTACTTTACATGCTATCTCTGTAACTCACTGTACTTGGAGAAACAAATGTTGAACTCTGGAAAGAGGAAAACCAGCTTAATTGCCTTGACTCCCTTATCACCGTCAGGGTGGGCATTGTTCTTCATCACCATGTATCAAATGTGTGCATCACTAAGCCTGGGTCTGAGGTTTCAATAGCCCTGGTAGGAAAATATTACGATGTGGACTTCGGGAGTAGAATTAGTATTCTGCCTGATGCCTTCATTTTTATGCATGGATTATGCAAATGAGAAAATGAGTGTGCTCCACACCTTCTGCTGGAAAACTTCCTTGCAAAGTTGCTTTCTGTGTCTTGTCGTTTGTTTTCTATACTGCAAGGGGTTAAAGTCAGTACCTTCCACAACAGTGTGCAGTCCCCCATGGAGCAACACCTTCAACCCTCTTGTTTCCTACACTTAAGATTTTGTTTCAATCCTTAGCACTGGAAAGATCTTAAGCATAAGTTCAATTATATATAGGTAAGGATTTGGTTCAGTTTGGGGAAAAGAGAGCTCACACTTAGCTAAGAGCCTTCCATGTGCTAAACATTTTCACAGGTCTATTTCATCGATTTTGTCTCGTGATGATTAGTGTTATCAGCTTGACCAAATCAACTGAGAAGGGGCCTCTGTGAATGTCGTAACAGGTTGTTGTGATTGCATTAATCAAGGTGGGACAATCTGTCCACTGTGGGCAGCATCATTCCCTAGCCAGCAGATTCTCGACTGTGTAAGAGTGGAAAAGGAGGGCTGAACACAAGTATACACATAAGTATGAAATTCACTGTCCCTTGCTCTTGGCTGTGGATGTCATGGGACCAATTTTTTTCAAGCTCCTGCTGCCTGTTCATCCCCATCACGGTAGACTGTACCTGGAACCGTGAGCTACAATAATCTATTCTTCCCGTAAATTGCTTTAGTCGGGGTGTTTTACAACAGCAACAGCAGAAGAAACCAAGGCAGGCCTACAGTATCTCTGGGTGGGGAATCTTACTAAACATATGCTATGGATGAGGAAAGGGAGGAATAGAGAGGTGAAGTCCCTTGTTGACATGCAGAGCCAACATCCAAATCCAGGGCTGCTGCTTTTCATATTTGTGTCCTTTCCAATCTATTGCACAGTCTTTTCTAGTGTGCAGGGCCTATGGGACAAGTGCTAACGTCCAGAATCTTTCAGAGTGCAGCAGAAGGTGACAGCTGGACACTGCTCAGGAAATTGTGAATGCAGTCGGTTCTGATCCACACATCACACCTGGCTTTTGCGTTATAGATAATAAAAGAACACCTGGATCACTACACATACTTTCTGTCACGTTTGTCACGTGTTTTAATGTCCCATTAGCCTTACTTACTCTTTCACATTTGACATACGTTTTCTGCTTTCAGAGACAACAGGTTCTATTGAGACAGCTGCCCAAAAGATTCATCTTTAACATCAGGATCTCAGGACTTCGGGAAATAGCGCAGTGGTAGAGTATGCTTAGGCATGTTGCCCTGTGCTCTAACTAGAGAGCCATAGAGATATAGAGATAGAAGATATAGATAGATAGATAGATAGATAGATAGATAGATAGATAGATAGATAGATAGATAGATAGATGATCTTCAGAGATGAGAATTATGTCTCCATAGCCACATGGGTCACCTATTATGTTTCAATGATAGTCTCTGTTACTTACTGATAAATCTTA